AGCTATACTGGCAATTGAAAATGAGATACAATTTGATATCGACGATTGTGTAAAAGATTTTGCTTTGAAAAAAGCACGAAGAGTACATTTTTAATCTATTTTTTTAAGTAATAGTAACAAAAATATTTAAGGAGCCTACTTACCCCTCTAAAACTTGCGCCACAGATAATCTTTCATGATTTCTCTTGTTACAAACCGAAATAAAAAAGTGGTTTGTAAATAGTTAAAGCCATTTCTAAGCTACTTTTAAAACCGTGTATTTATTATATTCTGCAAGTTCGAAATTCAAAATTAGCTAAAATGGTAACTTTTAGCAGTAATTAAATCTGTAACTTGCTGCAAATATCTAATGAATTCAAACAAATTATTTAAAAAAATAGCTTCGATACATATTATAAATTTTTCAAACCACTTTTTTAATTTCGGTCTATAACAAAAGTAATCAAGGAAAAATATGGTGGCGCTGGTTAGCTAGGGTACAACCCTTAATAATATTAAGCACATATGTGACTTTTTTTTTTTTTTTAGTTTTGTTCTACGTACCTCTGACGTGGTGATCAGAGCCTTTGGTATTATGTGTTTTCAATTTTTGACTATTTAATATTATAGGAGATTTATTTAAGGGAAAAGGGGGTAGGAATTTTACTTTTTTTTTTTGTGGCTATCTTATTTATTTAAATAAACTTTATGGATTTTTACAATTTTTCTGTTTATAGTTTTCAAATTTTTATTTTCGGTTTTATCGTATAGTTTATTCTATTTATTATATCTTTTATATTTTATTAATTTGGAGATATTCGAGCCGATTTTTATTCTTATTTATTATTTCTATTTAAAATATTTTCTGGTTACTCTGTATAATAAACTTTCAATTTTATGACTCTACTTTTTAAGACTAATTTTTATACTCAATGCTGTGCACAGTTATAATCATTATATCTGGCCAACATTTTTTATTTACTCTTGATTTGATGAGAGCCAATAGCGACTTGCAAGTTCAACTTGTTTATCACTATTCACTCTCCTCTATCTTGAGGTTCCTATTAATTGCAGAGTGCATCCCAGAACGGATGAGAACTTCCTGTTTTTGCTACATGATTCTAATTTTCCTAGAGAACTCGACATTTGTTTTATTAATGTGTGTTTCTTTTGTTTCAGGTATCCAGACAACGACGGACCAACGGACGCCGCACCCACGGACATCCCGCTCCCGACGAAGAGACTTGTTTTTAGTTTCGCCTGTTTTCCCGACCACCACGGCAATGTTGGTTGTTCACATTTGAGGGTAAGTAATATTTTTATTACACTGATTTTTGGCAATACTGATCTCTTTTTCTCATGAAACCGAGGTCGGTTTGCAAAGCCGCTGTGATAGGTACAATTTAGGGGTTTCCACACTTTACAGTCTTTCGCCGAGAACGGAACACCAAATGAGAACACCAGTCCACCGATCACGCCGCATGTCCGGTTTCCCACGTTGTTCAGTTGCATGTCGAGTTCTTTTGGAGTTCCAGTGGTTTGCTTGCTTGGGACAACTTCAGCAATAGGCAACGGATGATCTTGCCAATGTGTCCCATCGTCGACGCACCGGGCACAACGGACTAAAGGCATTGTGATCGTGCTTTTCATACTTGGCTGAGCTGCAGTTCTTACAGGTGGCACTGACTCCAGCAAGCCAATCCGCACACTCAGTCCGGAGGTGTGGTCCTCCACAGTGGCTGCACAGGTCAACGGTCTCAGTGCAGAAGCGTTTCCCATGGCCGTAGCCAAGGCACCTCGTGCACTGGACCAGCGGGGACTGATCTTCAACCCTGACCTGCTGCAAGTCCACGTGCAGGGAACCACCCTCGATGGCCCTCCGCCAGATGGCGGGTGAGGTAGAGATGACAACGTGGTTAGTGTGCGGATTCCGTGCGCGCTTCTTAAACTTGATCTGCAGGCGGTCATCCCCTTCGCCGAGGTCGCGAAACAACTCCTTGTTCTGGCTCCTGATTGCCTTAAGGATGTCCTCGTCGCTATTAAGCAGCAGGACATCCCTCAGGATCAGGAGCGGATCTTTGTTCTTCACCTCCTCGACGACGAGCCGATCCCCGCATTTTCAAGCCTCGCCTTAACCTTCGCCCTTTCCTCCTTAGAACTGCAGCTCATTATGATTTTACCATCTTTTGCCTTTCTTACTTTTTGCACCTTAATCCAGCCCTCCTTCGCGTTTACCGCCTCCCTCACTCTACTCAGCACAGTGTCCGCGGTGTCCTGATTGTCCTCCGAGGACACTATGACTGAGTGCAGGGCGGTCTTCACCGGCGACATCCTATCCGAGTGTGGCGGCGGCATGGTCGCCGCCACACTCGCATAGGTGACCGTCGTGTCCAGTTTGATGGTCTGTTTATCAATTTCGATTCGAATATCGTCCAACTTTTTATTGTTTTCTACCAAAAGTCTGTTATTTTCTTCTATTTTTGCCATCATCCTGTCACTTTCTATCCTATCACACGTCAAACTCATCCTTTCAGTCTCCTCTTTCCCCTTCTCAAAGGCTCCATCCTTCTTCCCTTCCTTTCTATCCATCTCCGAGTCCTTAATGAGTTGGTACATCCTGTCAAGACACCGTGTGACCTCTACCTTGATCTCCGTTCGGAGATTGCGAGCTTCACCTAGGTTTGTCTTGCCTTTAACCAAAACGGCCCTCGCTTCGGCCACTCTGTCGCGGCTGGTGGTCTGCCTTGATGACAGAGTGGGGCTGTCCGCAGGCGACTTCTTGGCGGCCTTTGCGCCTTGCGAGGACGCCGGTTTTGTCCTGAGTCTGGAAGGTCCAGCCTGAGGGGCGACAGGTCTGTGTCCGCTCGGAGAGGAGTCGCCGAACCCGATCTCGAACTCCCCTATGCTTCGCCGGACGTTGGTGGTTGTGATAGATGGTGATATCACTATCGGTGACTTCCTGCGCACCGGCGAAGTTCGGGGTGAAGGATCCCGGCGTTTGATGGGGGTTCTAAGTCCGAGAACCATTCTTGCCGATCAGAGGTACGCGTCGTTCGACAAAAAGGTACGTAGAAAAATCAACGGTCCGTATGACCGCTACAAGCAAAGAGTAAAGGTTTGTATAAGTTTTATAAATAAATGTAAAAATAAAATTGCTTAAAATAAAATAAGTTTCCCTTTTTCAGGTACTCACAGTCGGAGCGGCGGTCGTTGCGGTACCGGTAAGTAATTTTTGTAAGTTCTGTTCTAATAATGTGCGTGTTTTTATTTTTCAGGTGCCGGTACTCGCAGCGTCGCAGCCAAGCGGTCAAATACAAAATATTCAGGCGGTAAAATTGTTTACCTATCAATAAAACTAATGTTATCCACGCAGTTGTGTCAAAAAATCCTTAAAGCTAAACTCAAAATGTCTCCAAAAAGTCCCTCGGTGGGAGTACAACTCAATTCAGGTGTAAACTCGAAAATTTATTTTTGGCCCAATCGAAAAAGTTTACCTAGTAAATGACCAANAAGTTTCCCCCAGCACTAGCCTTTACAGAGATAAAAAAATATATAGGCCGCCCAGTGCAGGTGTTAAATACAAGAGATCTTAACCTAACTTACAACTATTTTACAAGACATAGTGTATAACACAGGACAAAGACTTAACATGATTATCAATTAGTTACTCTGATCAACTTAGTAAATTATAATGTTCACAATGAATTTATGCACTAATAATGAATGTGATTAATCAATTACTGCACAATTAAAGTAAAGTATATACAGAAATCAGTTAGCTTGTGTTCAGAATGCCGATGTGTTAAAATTTTGGATACATTTAGGATTACTAGAAAGTCAGCAGTTGAATACTATCAGTGAGGTTAGTTATTACACATTTGAGAGTGTGAAATCGATCAATTTGTTGGAGTATAACTGTTTAAGGTTTTGCTTCCTGAGCGGTCGAGGTCCGCGGTGCCGTCTCCGAGGACCACCAGCAGCACCCTGTGGGCCGGGACCGTGCATTGATCCCAGTCGGCCACTGGGGCCGGGGACGTCCCGGTGAAGGACTGATCCTTTTAAATTTGCCGGCCCCTTGAGCCCCCAGGATCGCCTGTCCCACCAGCGCCAGCGGTGGGCGGGCTATCCCCCAAGCCGGCCCGCGGACCACGAACATTGCGGTACATATACGAAATTTAACTAGGAAAAATATTAGGCAGGTTGCCATAAATTAATCGATTTCAAAGGAGAAGGAGCTTAAGTTAATGTTAAAAATCAACGCTATATAGCATATAAAAGGGAGATGCAGTTATTAAATAAGATTTCGTAATCAGCTCCGCTCCGCCAGACCCGGACTCCCACACCGGTCAATAAGCCGAAGGCCGGGCGCGGGGACAGCAAGCCAAACCTAAAGGTTAAAGCCGACCGCCCCCGCGCCCAACCCACGGCCCCCAACCCAGCATAGGCCGGCCTGTCGGAGCGGAGCCCATCACTGGTGCAGGACATAGACAATCTACATAAAGGCATATTATATAAGACAAAAAAAAAGAAAGTGACATGAAAAAGAAGAGGCAGTCGCACGGCCGNGAGCGGGCTCACCCCCAAGCCGGCCCGCGGACCATAGACATTGCGGTACATTTACAAAATTTAACTAGAAATATTAGGCAGGTTGCCATAAATTAATCGATTTCAAAAGAAAAGGAGCTTACGTTAATGTTAAAAAAGAAAAATCGACGCTATATAGAATATAAGGGGATGCAGTTATTAAATAAGATTTCGTAATCAGCTCCGCTCCGCCAGACCCGGATCCCACACCGGTCAATAAGCCGAAGGCCGGGCGCGGGGACAGCAAGCCAAACTTAGAAGTAAAAGCCGACCATCCCCGCGCCCAACCCACGGCCCCCAACCCAGCATAGGCCGGCCTGTCGGAGCGGAGCCCATCACTGGTGCAGGACATAGACAATCTACATAAAAAAAACATATTGTACAGAAAACAAAAAAAAGAAAATGACATGAACAAGTAGGGGCAGTCGCANTTCGCGCTCGGCCGTGCTACGGTGCGGACGTGTGTCGGAGGCTCTCGGGCGCGCTCGCGAGTATTCGTGACGTAGACTAATTAGCGAAATTTGTTAATTAGCAATTATTATAAGTTTATTTTGTGTTATTTCAAAAGTGGAACATTCGTGTTACTCTTGTGTTGGTTCTGTGCGTTGTATTAAAGCGAATTATTAGTGTTTTGTGGTTGTGTTTCTGGATCCTTGCTCCGGGCCGCGTGGAGGGTGTTTAACGCCCGTTTCCCGCCCCTGGGGTGTGATTCCTGGACAGGCAGTGTTCACTGCCTGCGCAGTAAGTGGTTGTGCGTCGCCTAGCTCCTGTGGGGTGTGTTTTTCGCGTCTCGGGGCGTGATTTGTTTCGCGCTTTTGAGGTTAGAAAACGTGCTTTGCAGAGGCGTGGTGACCGCGTGTTCAATTTGACGTTTTGCGTCAGCTGTCACTTGTCACTGTCAGTGCCACTGTCAGTGTCAGTGTCTAGTTGACGTTTGTCTCTGGTCCGAATCGCGCCGGGTCCGTATCGGTAGCGTTACTATAACGGTAGCGTTATCGTTACTTCTCGGTAACGGTATTGACTTAGAGCAGTAAGCCGCTGGAGATGGACGGTGATAATAACACCCGTCGACTGATTGCCGATGAGATGGCCAGGAAGGAGGAGGAACTGAGGATCCTCGAGGAGATGGCTGCCGAGAGTGGGTTCGCTCCGCGCCAGTCGCTCCAACGAACGCCGCCAAGTGGTTTCACCACACCGCCGCCGTCAGGTATGGCCCCGTCGGGTTCGCAGGTAGCCAAGCGGCCGCTGACTTCGCCGGAGGACGTTGCCGAGGAGGTAGGCCGCCGGCGGGCAGTTGACCGTAGGAGACCGGTGCCCCCGGTCGGGGGCATCCTGACGTCGCAGCCGGCACGTTCATCGACAGCGGTTTCGAGCACACCCAGAACGACAGCCGTTACTGCGCAGCCGCAGCCGCAGCCACAGCCGCAAGCACAGCCGTCATCAGTCGTAGCAGAGCCGATGGAGGGTACCGATGGTCCACAGGGTCTGGCCTCGTTGTCGAAGCTGGACCTTCTAGATATGGTGCACAAGTCTGTGAAGGGTATCCACCAAGTCACGACGGCCACCAACAAGTTAAACCTAGCCGATAAGACGACGGTGGCGTCACACAGCCAGGACATCCTGGCCGTGGTGGCGGCACTGGAACTCCGACTGTCCGACTTGGAGCATCAGCTCAGCGCTACAAAGCTTCAGGCCGCGAGCGCTGAGTTGGAGTTCTCAAAGCGGCTGATGGGGGCGTCATCAGGCGTCGCACCGGTGGGCCCTTCGCCGACTGTGCCGAGCTACGCGAATGCCTTAAAGTTGCCCAAAGGCAAGGCGCCGATAGCTGTCTCCAACCAGGGTCCGGCAGTCATCTTCTACCCTGCGGACGAGGCCATCAAGTCGTCCGAGGAAACGAAGAAGACCCTGCAGGAGGCGGTCAAGCCGACATCAGAAGGGATAAAGATTCGCAGTGTAAGGATGGTTGGCAACTCAGGAATTGTGGTGAGGACCGCTAACGCTGAGGCTGCCCAGAAGCTTAAGGCCGCGGCCCCTCCCACCCTCAAGGTGGCGGAGCCAAAGACCAAACAGCCGAGGGTAGCCTTACGCTATTTGAGAGCCGACATCTCGGAGACTGAGATCCTGGAGCAGCTCCATCAGGCCAACTTCAGTGATGACGCAGACTGGCCAGTGGATAAATTCAGGGCTAGTTGTAAACTGGCCCTGAAGAAGCAGGTGGGCCCTAAATTCTTGGTGCTGCTGGAGTGCTCCATGGCTCTCAGAGATAAGTTCGTGTNTTTTTGGATACATGAATGTTTCAGCAGACTTACTGAGGATCCTGAGTCGACTAGTAATGATAATGGGATGTCGGATACAGAGGACTTTACTAGGACATGGGGTAATAATGTCTTTGCAGGATTGTTGATGATTTCGAATATATTTGATTTAGCAGGATTTGGCAGGTCAACCTTGATAGGCTGCTGCACGGATACAGAGGATTTAGCACGTTTTGGCAGGTCAACCTTGATAGGCTGCTGCACGGATACAGAGGATTTAGCANAGATAAGTTCGTGTCTCTGGAGCGCGTGTACATTGGGTGGGACGAGTTGGAGGTTAGTGACCACATCCGCGCGTGCTGCTGTAACAAGTGTCACCAGTACGGCCATCCGGAGAAATACTGCCGATCAAAGGAGACGGTATGCGGCAAATGTGGAGAGACCGGTCACCGGTATAAGGAGTGCCAGTCGAGCACGGAGTGCTGCGCTACATGCCGAAGGTTTAAACGCAAGGAGGCGCACACGCACACCACGGCATCTCCTTCATGCCCGGCGAGGCAGTTTGCAGAACAGCAGGCCGTCAACATGCTCCAGTATGGATAAGCACGGTACGATACTTCGAGTAGGGCAGCTCAACCTCAACGGTTCTCAGTCAGCCACCACAGAGTTACCGGTTGTGGCGCGTACACTGCACCTGGATCTAGTGATAGTCCAGGAGCAGTTCAGCAGCCACCCGGGCATTCTGCAGTGTGGTGAGAACCCGAAAGCTGGCGTCCTCGCACTTAATCGCGACGTAGCGCTCACAGTGTTGCATCACTTGAGCAATGAGCATTGTCTAGTAGCCCACGCTAAGTACGGTGACATCAGCGTCTACGTGATATCGGCATACTTTCAGTACAGCCACGACATCAGCCATCACATACAGCATCTGGATGACGTGCTCACACAGCTTGCAGGGAAGCCAGTTCTCATCGGCGTCGACAGCAACGCGCACTCTCCTATGTGGTATTGTGAAGAGAGACAGTACGTTGGTAGAGGAAGGGACACTGACTACAGGAGGAATCAGATGGAGGGATTTATACTTGGACGAAACCTTCTTGTACACAATAGACCCGACCAACCACCAACTTTCAGCGGACCGAACGGTATGTCGAATGTGGACCTCACACTCTCATCGAGAAGTGTCGCCGTGCAAAGCTGGACTGTTCACGAGGGCGCCAGCCTGAGCGACCATCAGCTGATCACATTTAACGTTATCTCTGGAATCTGCCGCCTATCGTCGACATCGCCGGACGTTAACGATTCGTTACCGACTCCATTCCGCGTGAGAGGGGTTGATTGGGATAGGTTCTGCTCGGTTCTCAATGCTAGAGTAGGCGGTTTGAGCACGCGCCTTTCAGCCACACAGTACTGCGAGAGCTTCACGGACTTATTGCTGCGGACCGCTCGGGAGGTCCTCGGGCAGTGCGCACGCAAGAGGGACGGTAAATATGAGTGGTGGTCTCCGGAGCTAGATCAGTTACGCCGTCAAGTCAACCGATCTCGTCGGGACTGGCAGCGATCGCGCCGTGCGGGAGGAATCCAAGAAGAGCTACTTCACACTGCTCTACGTGAGCAACGGATCGTCTACAAGCAAGCCATGAAGAAGGCAGAGCTGGATTTTTACCGCAACATCGCTGAGTCTGGAAACGACGACCCCTGGGGCCGAGCCTACCGTGAAGCGAGCGGACGGTTCCGTCCGCCGCCGAACATCATCAACGGTATGAAACTCCTAGACGGCTACACTGAGGCTTCGGGCGACACCATGAGCGCATTACTCTCCTCGCTGTACCCAGACGATCGACCAGAGGCCGATACCCCGTACCATCGCGACGTACGTGTTGCAGCAGCTTTCGCTCCTCCTGGGAGCGACTCACCGGAACCCAGTAAGGCGTCTGTCGACCTTATTGTCCGCGCACTACCTAACACAGCCGCTGGTTCGGACGGTATCACTGCCAAAATCGTCAAGTGGGCTTGGAAGGCGGCTTCGGACGAGATGTGGCATATGTATCGCATCTGCATAGCTGAGGGTACTTTTCCAGACATCTGGAAAGTAGGTAGACTATTGGTCCTCCCGAAGGGAAACGGTAAGCCTCTCTCTGACCCGAAGGCTTATAGGCCTATTACTCTGTTGCCGATTCTTGGTAAGATTCTGGAGCGCGTCATCATCTCCTGCGCTCCCTGCCTGCACCGACATATATCTGACGCTCAGCACGGTTTCACCCGTGGCCGGTCTACGGTCACGGCGCTCAAATTCATTAACTCGATCACCGAGAACAGTACTGCGTCATACGTGCAGCTGATCTTCCTGGACATCTCCGGTGCTTTTGACAACGCGTGGTGGCCGATGATTTTGTTGAAGGCCAAACAGGCCGGAGCCCCGCCTAATATCTTTAGGTCATTCACAGAGAGGGTCTGGGGAGACAGACCGGAGAGACTGGGAATGCTGGGGGAAGAGCATGAAGAGGTTTCCCCCAGCACTAGCCTTTACCGATATGCAGGATAGGCCGCCCAGTGCAGATCTTATGTGACTAAAGTCTTAACCTAATCTTAAAAATTAATTACAAAGGACAATGGGTCGCACACGGTTTCCGCTGATAATTAACTAATTACACTCATTTACTTAACAAGACTATTTACAGTGATTGTCAGAGAATTATTGCTTATGGTCGACATGTTTGATGTGTGTGTGTATTATTCGCACAAAATCTGATGTTTACAGTGAGGTTAATTGGCCAGATAATGTAGTGTTAGTATTAGTACAAAGAAAGGATATAAGTTGGTCGAATACGATGAGATAGAGCACTGAGAGAAGTGCTGAATTTACTTATTTGGTATTATAATCAATTGATTCATTGGGACTAAATGTTAAGTTTTAGCGCGGTCAGTCAGGACCCGCTTCAGGCAGTAAGGTCGATGATATTAATAGAGTGTGCAATCTTGCTACACGCCTAACCTAAACTTACATCTAATAAAGTATGTACAATTGTATAAGTATACGCATAAAAATATATAAAATGTATTTACATTAATTACACCGATGGGCCGACTCCCATCGCGCACAGTTGTCCGCCCATCGGGTCCAATCCGGGTGGTCTCGGAGGTGCGATGCACCTTCGGCGTCTCAAGCCTGCCCATGGTCTAGAGGTATCGTGCCCGAGCGCGCCCGGGCGCAAGACAGCCATGGAGGAAAGCAGGTATCAGGGGTGAGCGAAGGAGGTAAATAAGTAAAGCTCACGAAAGAAGAGAAGGGAATACAGTAGGGGCCCCCAGCGTATAGCGTCCCGCCACAGTCCCGCCCCCGGAGGACGTGGTCGACTCACGATGACTAAGAAATATCGCGATAGCGCCATCTCCCGCCGAGGTGGCGTACTGCCCGCTCAGCCGCCCACCGTGCTTTATCAAGACAGTGGACGTAACCCGTGTTGTGATGTGTGTCAGTTCGCACCCCTATTCGAGAGGTGGCGCCTCCAGCGCGCCGCGTTCCAGTCGCTAGAGAGCGCCGCCGTAGAATGTAGAGTGAGATAGAAATTTAAGTACTGTAAGTAAGTTCAAGACCAAAATACCATTACAAAATTAAGACGGAGTAAATTAATAATAAAACAAATGAGATTAATGAAGAAATAATGTTTTAGTAGCTAATTGACCAAATGTTGAGGAGTGCCGTTCCAGATTGATATGATTGACATTGAAAGTGAAGGCCCGATACAGCAGACAAAAGGTCTGACGTTATTTAAGGGGAGTAAACTTAAAGAAAAACTTAAAACCTGGAGGTCGCCTGAAATTCCCTCCACCGCAGAAGCCGTTTCTATTCCCAGCTCCCCCGGTGGAGCGAATTCCAGGCTCCTAACTACAAATTTGAGGTGGGACATGTTGGGTTTGAAATTACGTAACTAAATCAGGTCCGAACCGAATCACGATGACTTAGAGATATCGCGACAGCGCCATCTCCCGCCGAGGTGGCGCACTGCCCGCTATGCCGCCCACCGTGCTTTATCCAGACGGTGGGCGTAACCCGTGTTGTGTTGTGTGTCAGTTCACGCCCTTATTCGAGGGGTGGCGCCTCCAGCGCGCCGCATTCCAGCCGCTAGAGAGCGCCTCCGTAGAATATAGAGTGAAATATAATTATACGTGCTGTACGTAAGTTCAAGACCAAAATGACATTGCAAAATTAAAACAGAGTGACTTAATGATAAAAGAGATGAGATTAATGAAGTGATAATGTTTTAGAGGCTAATTTAACCAGATGTTAAGGGCTGCCGTTCCAGATTGATATGTTTTTTTTTTTTTTTTTTTTTTTTTTTTCTCGTTCATTTTGGCCACTCAGAGGATTTTTATTATGGGAAGGGACGTTCACAATAAAACTTAAAAACTAACTTACGCTAGTTACAATTATTCACGCGTTTCGATCCTTTAGTACCGGCAGGCGTGCCACTCGAGAGTTGGTGGAGTTGCGAACCGGGCACGCGGCCCTCCAAGGCGGTGAGGGATGCCTGCTCAAGGAGGGCCTGGGGGGACAGACAAAAGATAGACTGGGAGTGTTGGGGGAAGAAGTGAGAAAGTTTCCCCCAACACTAGCCTTTACAGTTATAGACCGAGGTCGATAGGCCGCCCAGTACAGATGTTGAGTACAAAGGATCTTAACCTAACTTACAAACTAGTTTAGAAGCATAGTGGGTACACAGGAATAGCATGATTTCTATTAGTTACATTGTTCAACTTAATTATTTATACTGTTTACCATGAAGTTATACACTTATTATTGCTATGATTAGTCAATAACTACACACACAAATTTTAATATGCAAAGGATTGATTAATTATTTACATAGTGTCAATTAGTTAAATAGAATCAAATTTAAAAGAAACACAAAGTCAGCAGATGTAATATTACAACAAGTGTTACGTGCAACTCAATTTGAGATTTAGAGTGTTATTGATACAAGAATTAGTAAATTGTTTACAGACTGTCAATTTCTTAAATATAGTCAAATTTTGAGAGCAGNCTGCTGGACCCATGCTGGGCACACCTCAAGGGTGTGCTGAGCCGTATCTTCCGCAGCGCCGCACTCGTGACATTCAGGGCTCGGCTCTCTACCGATCAGATGCAGGTACCAACCGAAGCATCCGTGTCCGGTTAGCANAAAAGCGAAAAAAATATATTTGTTAATATCCATGTAGAAATACGCAGAAGAACATGAACGTAAACTAACGATGTTCCATTTTTCCTTATAGTAAAGTACGAAACCATAAAAACATTACAGAGAAGCGGGCCTCCTATCTCTACATCATTTGTCCCAAATTCCCGTCATATATTCCAGAGATGAACAAGTTGGTTTACGAGCCAACTTTATTCCCCATGTAATATATGTTTTTTACATACAACTTTTCTGTTTTCCTCTGGCTTAAATACAGTGGCGGATTTACCAATAGGCCAAGTAGGCCAGTGCCTAGGGCGGCAGATTTAGAGGGGCGGCAAATTTAGCAAATTTTTTTTTACAGGAAAAAAAAATATAATTATACGTATACCTACACAATCCATATATAAATAAACGATTAATAAACGCACTGTAATATATGTATACTTAGGTCCTTATGTGATCATGAATTTTAAAATATTCCAATAGCGTTTCAATAAAAATAAAATAAAAAACTCTTGAGTAACACAGGATCTTCGGAGCCTAGCACGAGCACCATCTCTCCACAACTTCGTGTATATTGTTTTACAGGGTAGCCCAGAAGAAAATTCACTTTTGAAAATTCAAGGAAACGAAAACTGTACATTTTTGTAGAACTTAAGCTATTGCAATTTAAAGGAAATTTAGTGCAATTTATTTTAAAA